GGGTGTGGTAGGCAGGGGAACCTCTTCTGGTGGCTCAGGGGCCTCCTTTGGTGGTTGTGGAGGCTCCGCTAAAGTGAGGGAGGAGAAGGAAAATCAAGGTGGCTCAGGCAGACAGATTCCTATCTACGCTTGACAATAACCATCTCTTTCCCTTCAAAACAAACAAACCATTCTCAGACAGTCAGATCCAGGAAAACTTCTCCCTCACAGCTACTGTTTATCAAGACAATGTTAACATCTTCTCTATAAGCCCTTATTCTTTCTTGCCAAACCAAATGGAAATCTGAGTCAACTCACTCAAGAGATTATTTAGTCCATTAAACATTCCTTCCCAGTTCACAAGTCATGAGGGTGAGGGCTCTTCTTTCATCCTACCACTGACTGTTCCCTGAGCCCAAACCAGCCAAAATAATCAGGAATATTTGTCTGACTAAGTATCGCATACCTGGGCTAGCATCAAAGCTGCTGCTGCTGGTACTGCTACTGCTGCCTCCGCTCACTAAGGTGGGAGCTGGAGCCAAAACAGGGACAGGGGCAGACTGGACAGGAGCAGGGACCAGAGCTGGCTCTTCAGGGTCCTTCTCAGCAGGCGGGGCTAGCACTGGAGGTGGTGCTGGGGGTGCTGGGGGTTCTTTGGAGGCAGCAGGGGGTGGAGCTGGGGTGGGTGGGGCAGCAGGGGGAGCAGAAGGCTCTGCTTTGAGTCGTTTGTCAGGTGCCCCAAACTTCTCATCCAGTCGCTTGAGCTTCTCTGCACAGGCTGCCCGTCGCTCCTCTTGCATCCGTCGTTCCTCCTCTTCTCGGCGCCTTCGTGCCCGCTCTACTGCCAGAGAGATCTCTGATGACGACTGCTTTCGACGTTGCCGCCAAGCCTCATCCTCATCTTCTGGTGCTGGTGGCTTACAGGGTGGGCCTCCACGATCCTAAGGACAGACACTGATCAGTGTCAGACACTGATCAGTGTCAGACACTCATTTCCACACACCTTTACACTAATATTTGGCTCTCTGGCTCCATATTCTACCACACTACCTAAACCCTGTCTAGTCCTAGCACTGGAACTTAGTTGTGGGTGAGAGAAACACTCCACTAGCCTTTCCCTCCCATTTATTTCAGGGGCTCATTCTCAGGGCTCTTATTTTAATCACCCACCTTCCTTTTTTCCAGATTTCAGGCTTGGTCCACCCTCAATCAATTCTCCACTATTTTGCCCCTGACTTCACTTTACTTCCTCCATTTCTTCTTTTGGCATTTTCTTTTTTTTGGCGAGGCAGTTGGGGTTAAGCGACTTGCCCAGAGTCACACAGCTACTACGTATCAAGTGATCAAGTATCTGAGGCTGGATTTGAACTCAGGTCTTCCCGACTCCAGAGCCAGAGCTCTATCCATCTTGACATCTAGCTTCCCCTTCTTTTGGTATTCTTAAAACCCCAGTATCTCATGTTGGAAGGAGCCTTAAGAGATCATCTGGTCCAACTCACTTGAGACTAGAAAACTAAGCCCAAAGTGATGTCATTTGCCCAAAATTAGAGAAGTACTAAGTCGAGGATTTATACCCAGGTGTGTCTGCCCCTAACTCAGTGCTTTATCACCTACACATCATCTTGCCTCCTCCTTGTATGATCCTGGCTCTCTCATCAGTCCATGCGGCACTAATTTTCCACAAGCTACTGTTGCCTTCCCCTCTGATACCACATTCTTCATATATCTCACAATGCTCCCTGTCAAAACTCACTGGATAGTCTCCAGGGGCCCCCCAATTCCCAGTGGGGCCTCTGTGAGGTGGTGGTGGGGGAGGCTTAGGGGCAGGAGGCCCAGGTTCTGCCTCAGGAGGCCGGGAAGTCTCTGTCCATGCTGCCTTGGGAGGGGGAGGCTCATTTCCAGGAGAGCAGCCCTTCTTGTTGTCTGTGTCAGGGGGCCGATCCTCACTGGAAGGATGGGACTCCTTGCTGTGCGAAGAGGAACAAGGACAATCGGAGCAAGGTTAACAGTCTTCATCAGCCCCTTGATCAAAGATGATTTACTCCTAAGAACCACAGGAGCTCAGAGAATTGGAATGCCCCCACCCTCTACCCCCACTCACTGGCCCTCCGCTCCCTCTTCATCAGAGTCACGACCATCCTCCTCATCGCTGAACTTGAGCTTTTCCGTGTAGTCTACCTCCTCATGGGCCCCTGAAGGGAGAGGGCATAAGCTGGTAAACCCGGTCCCTTTCTACTGGGACCTGGGCATCTCTGGCTTGGAATATTTGGCCGACTATTCCTCCCTCTAGGGTTGGGACCAAGACTTGGGGCAGAAAGGTAGTAGTGGTGGATAAATTACATTGATTGGTAGATACATTAATTCAGTTTCTGTCTTTTTCAACTCTCCCATTTCAACTGGCCCCTCAAAAGTGTCTCCTTTAACACCCCTAATTCCCCAAACTCTTCACCATTGGTACTTCCACCCCCCTAACCCCCCATATAGCCCGAAAGATCTTATCCTTTCCCTCATTGGTCCTAGCTTTTTTCTCCCAGCAGATCCTGTTTCATAGGTTCCCTTTATCCAGCTCTCCTTGGATTCTCCACTCACCCGCCCAACCGTCATCATTCTCCTGATCCAGCTGGTCAAATTCCTTGAGGTTATCCTCCTTGAGGATGGAGGGTCGGCTCACAGGCTCTGCCAGGCGCATGGGGGGACCTGAGCCCCGGGGGCCAGCCAGCCGGGGGAATCGGCTGCATTAAGGGTATGTGAACGGATTACACCTCTAAATGGGGCTCTGTTTCCTAGGAGATACATCTCATTCCCTCATAGGTCCCAGTCTGTCCAGGCTCCCAGATTCTATATCCTAACCCTCAGCCCCACAACCCATCCACCCCAGCTCCAAACCCAGTGTTTGCTCTCTCACCTGGGCCCATCAGGAGTAGGGTATCGGTAAGGCCCCTGTGGTCCATAAGGAGGGAACGGGAGATATGGGGGGTACATCTGCAAGAGGTCCCAACACTTGCACTTAGAGGGGAATCTAAGAGGTCCAACCTTCCCCTCCAAATCCCTCATCCAACCCTCTTGCTGTTCCTTTATTCCCTAGACCACCAAGACATCTTTCTCTCAAAACCCACAACTCACAAAGGGCGGCATCATCCCGCGGTAGGAAGGGAACTGGGGGGGGCCAGAGGGCTGGAGCCCCCCCCGGGGGTCGTGACCATGATGGAGTTTGGAGTCCGGGCCCTCCAGCTCATCAGGGCCTCGCCCACCTCCATCCCTCCAAGTTGTGGCATCTGGTACAAAGTTGGGGTTCACAGACAGGAAGAAGAGAAAGAAAAACAAAGAGATGTGACTATTTAGGAGCAAGTGAATATAGGTAACAGGAATAGGGATGAACAAAGCTGAGCAGGTCAGCAACTGGTTCTGGAATAGAAACTTTCCCTTATTGTGAAAAGATCTACTGGAAATACCACACAGGTCAAGAATAATGCAATGAAGAAGTAATTTTGAGATACCCCTTGAAAAGGGAAAAAAAGGGACAATAGACAGTGAAAACAAAAATTTTAAAAGAAACAATAAAACTTTTTTTTTAAAAGAGGGACACACTTTGGGGGCGGAGGCTTGGTCCGGGCCCAGACGACTGTTCGGCAGACTCCCTTTCCTTGGCAGCCTTGTCCTGGTCGCCAGCCGCCTGCAGGGTCGGAAATTCCTCTCGAGAGAATCGTGACAGTAGGTTTGATGCCCTTCCACCTACAAGGGATGAGGGAAGGATAGAAAGACCTTATCACTATCAAACATATCAAACATTTGTAGAGCACTCATCATCAGATTTTAGACTACATTCCCCTTCTCCCCCACCTCACAGGTAGATCTGGGGACTCCTGCTTATCATTCAAGAAGAGCTGGTTCTGCTAAGAGATGTTCCACCTATCCCTAAAAAGCCTAACATGACAAAGACTTGGTTCCTGGGAAGATGAACCTGGACTAGAAGATCAGCACATGGCCAAAGAAAACAATCAAACCTCTGACTGCCTTTAGGGAAGGTAGCACCACCATCACAGAGCCTAGGCCCAAGAAAAAGGAATATGAAACAGGAAGGCAATGAAGGAAAATAGCAAAGGAAACATACACTTATCCGTCCTTCAGGCAGAAGAACAGCGTATTCCAGTGACCCCAACTTACCATCCCCGTGCGCTCCATGGGTGACACTGGCTTGTGCCCAAGACTTTACCCCGCTTGGAACCGAAGGGGTGTTCTGCTGGGAGAGGAATAAAAATTGCAAAGGGAGCTAGGGCCTCAGACGCTTTCCTCTTTTTATCCCGGGTATGGCTGAACCTCCCTAAATAATACCTCGGGGACTGCTGGGGGGCGCTTCGGCTGGCTGGAGGCAGGCGTCTGTGAAGCCGGCAGTGGCTGCGATTCCGGCGGCTGAGCAGTTGAGGCATCGGAACTGTAGGGGAGAAGAAAGGATAGAGTGGTCAAGCCCGGGACTATTCATCTCTCTCATCCACTTAGAGAACACATCTTAGCAAACCATAACCAAATTAGAGAGTGATGAAAAGTCAGGCCCCCAACCCTCTTCAGGTTCCCATTGTCCTTGCTTCTAGTTTTCATGTTTGGGCATGAAAAGCGAATCCAAACCCTAACTCTACTACACCAGATCCCCTATGAGAAAAGCTGAAGCCCCAACATCTCTTCTCTATTCCCCACACCTCTTGGGGTCGGGCTGCTCCTGTTTGCTTGCCCATCCTGTCCCGTCTTTCGGCACTAGCGAGACATTGGGGTCATTGCCTTTGTTCTCGGCTTTCAAACTCGGCAGATTGGCTGGGGGTGGCATGCGCCGGGCGATGGCAACTTTCCCAAGACTCTGTAAGCCATGTCGAGGAGCAACTATGGGAAAGAGGTAGAGAAGGGTCAGGAGTGCCTCCAACCTAGCCCATGAGAGATCTGGCTCAGATTTAGGAGATTCCGATGCCAGATACCCATAATTTATACCATTATTTGATCAAGAGCCCAATCTGACCATTCTCTCTGGGAATTAATGTAGGACAGGAAGTCCCTGGGCTAGCAAGGGTAGGGTATGCCAGCCCTGAACTTTTCCAGCCCTCATTTCTTTGCCTCCAGTTCTTACGTATCTATGGATGGAAGCCACAGACACGCCTTTGTGGGAGGTAAAATAACTCCTACCCAGAATCAGGTATCTACCCCCTCCCTCTCTATCCCTAGGGTAGACCTGCTAAATCCTCTGTGTTCCTTTGGCCTCCCATGTCTCCACTATGTCTGGTTCCCCCAAAGGAACTTAAGCACTCCCATCATTTCTGTCCCCATCTCCCCCAACATGGCGTTCCCATAAGGTCCCTCACCAGCGGGTTTCTGGATCTCTAAGGACTTGCCCTTGTATGTATCAAACAGGTTGAGCGAGGAATACTTCTTTCCATCCTTCCCCTTGGCAGTCGGCCCCGAGCGATCGGACATCGCGCTGGAAGCTCATTGAGTACGTTGGGTCCTGCAGGCGCCTCCCCCGAAACGTGCTGGAGCCTGCAGGTGGGGTTCCAGCACTTCACTCCCAGTTCTCTCAGGAACACAAGAGGGCTATGCCCAGCTCTCACTTCTTTCAGTGTCAAAGATAAATTAGATCCCTGGCTCATTCTTTTATTGAAAGTCTAAGCCTTCTATCACCTTTAGACACCCAAACAAGTCAAGTTTCTCATACCTTCCAAACTCAAGGAGATCTGAATTTCAAATCCTGTTGCCTTTCAGCAATTGATCTTCCTACCTGGCCTCATCCTCTGATACCACAACGAAAACTTACAAATTATCAGAGGCATGGGGTACGGGGGAGAGAAGTATTAGCAACTTAATGACTTCGTTTTAGAGTTCCATGGAACACATCAGGTCTTTCCTTCTTTGTCCCTTAGCTCTTCCCATCTCCCAGTGATTAAACAAAAAATACTTATTTCCTCCCAGAGGGAACAGATACACTAATCCTTATTCCACAGAAAACCAGGAAGATCATAGCTTAACAAAAAAAGAAATCTTAGTCCCATTACTTTTCAAACCTGAATTCTCCAATCAGTTTTAAACTCTCCAACCCTGTTTCAGGGCCCAGGGCCCCAGGCTCTATTCCCAGCATGCCTTCTGTCCCATCTGGGGAGGGTTAGGAAAAAGGGATGCTGGGAGTTTGGGAATTTTATGAGCTTGCCCAGCCAGAATGGAGGCTGGCGTCTAAGAAATGCTCAGAGGAACAATCAGTGTTCTGTGGCTGAAGTACCCAAACTACCTACAGAACTGCCTGCCTTATAGCCAAGCCCCTGGAGAGTTCAGGATACTGCAGACCCAGATTCTAGGGTAAGGCACCAGCCAACTTTTATCTTCCCAAATACAGATGGTGAAGAAATAAAGTAATATGGACCATCCACTTGGACATTCCCCTCCAAGGGGCCAGTGCTGGCCCTACTACCAACCCCAGAACCTTCCCTTTTACCTCCCTCTTCTCAAAACTTAAAAATCCCAAACCCATGGCTGTTTGCCTATCGGCAGGCGCAGGATTCCTTATCCCCACTTCCCCAGACGCACTACGACTGCCATGTGTAGAGGAAGGGAGGCAGCGCATCCCCTTCCTTTAGGGCTGCCACCAGGATTGGGCCCACAGGATGGGAAGTACAATTTCTTTTTGTCAAGCTGGAGAAGGGGGAGGGAGTAGAATATTCTTTGAGAACAGAGAGGGGTTGGCTTCCTTACTGAGGGCAAAATAGGGTATAAATAATCATGTACATCTCAGGAAGTTATTCCCAAGGTGAAGGACTGGCCCAAACCCAGGAAGGGGGAAGAAAGGAACGGGGAATCATCCTAAAAGAGGAACCTACTCGTGGTGGGCTACCAGTAGTGAAGGGCTGGAAGGGGGATGCCTAGTTTTATCAGAGGTGGCAACAAAAATGTGAGGGGAGGGAGAAGTGAAATGTCCACCTGGGAAGAAAAAAGGGGCTAAGATGGGGGGGAGGGTGTGACAAATAGGCCCTAGGTGGGAGAAAATGTAACGGGGAAGGAGGTCAAGTTTAGGGATGATGTGAAGAAAAGGGGAGGAATGGGGGGCACATCGAAAGAAGAGATAAGTATGGAAAAGGTAAATTGCGAGGAGAAAGGGAAGGATGGGGGGGGGGAAATAGAGAGAAAGATTATCTAGGGGATCCGGGCTCAGTGACTCAAAAGGAAAGGGGCGACCCGGAAGGAGGGGAAATGAGGTGACACGGGAGGAGATGAGACCTAGCAGTCTGCGAGAGGGCTAAGTTCCAGCGAGTCAGTCAAGAGCCAGGCGAGGGGGGCCGGGGTACAATATGGAGGAAGGAGATAGAAAGGGTTTTTTTCTTTCGGGGCAAAGCTGTTACCCCTAGTTGAGAAGCATGGGGACACCCCCAAAGAGGGAGCGAGGGTCGCCCCGCTAGAAGCTGGGGGAGACAGGTTATCACCCCCTTGGGGAGGGGGGAGGGGACCGGGGAGGGGGTGGGGGGCCCCGGGGGGAGGGGCGGCCGGGCCCCAGCAGTGAGAAGAGGACAAAATGGCGGCGGCGGCTGATGGCTGCTGCGGCTTCTACCTCCTCCCCCCGCCGCTACCGCCGCCTCTAGCGCCAGTCCCTCCGTCGCAGCCGCCGGCCGCCACCCGCGCCGGGAATGAGGTGGCCGCCCCGCTGCGCGCCCCCCAGACTCACCTGGCCGGGTGCGCGGGGTCCGGGGCTCCCCGGGGCGGGATGGCGGCGGGGCGGGGGCGGATGGCGGCGGATGGCGCCGGCTTCGGCTCCTCCCGTCTCCCTCGCTCGCTCGGCGGCTCGGCTCCGACTAACGGCCCATCCGGGCAACCGCCGCCCCCGGGAGCGCCCCCCCCAACCTCCCGCCTCCCTCCGCGCCGGGGCACGCCCCCTTCATTTGCATAAGGGGTGGAGTTCCCGCCACCCGGCCCCACTCTTTAATCACAGTGCTGTTCGTTTAAGAAAAAAAAAAGGAAGAAAGAAAAGGAAAACCCTGGGAAGAAAAAAAAGGGGGGTTGACAAAAAACGGGGACAAGGGAGGGGGTGGGGAGGAGGTTATTTGCATAAAGGGGTGGGCTAAGCCGTAGCTGGGACTGTGGTTGGCTAGAGAGGTCGGCCGTTACGGCATGAGACGTGAGACGTGAGGCGTGAGGCGTGCGGGAGGGGCGGAGTCACGACGCCGGCCTGTTCGGCGGTTGGTAGATGTGTAAAGCGTATGCTACGGAAGGAGGCGGCAAAGGGACGGAGCCTGCGTCTTGCGTACGCGGCGGGAAGAGGCGGGGTAGACGTAAGCGGCGTAGCTGGAAATAAGGGGCGGGACGCGTGGAACTAGTGGAGCGGTAAAGGGGTGGTAAGGCAAAGTCGAATTAATATATACACAGAATGAGACCCGTGTGGGCCTCATGAATATTCTCGGCGAGAGTTATGTAGATTGTAATGGGGCGGGGCTTCAGCGGGCTTCTGAGAATAAAACACGCCCGGGGCTTATTTACATATATACTTAATGTCAATAAGTTGAGTGGAGCCAAATCCAAGATAAGGCCGACTTGCTGTGGCATTAGCACGATTCATTTGAAATCCCGCCATGTGTTTAGAGATAGGGGTTAGAGTGGACCAAGGATTTCACCGATGGGAGAACGCCTGACTTTGCAGGAGCTCTGCGTCTTCTGCTTCTTAGGGGTTCAGTGACTTGAACTCAGGTATTCCTGGCCTTCCGGACTGGTTTCCATCAGCAGTTCTTAACTTTTTTTAGTTTAGAGACCCCTTTATACTCTTAATTTTTAAGGACAACCTTTCTCCCCCGCTAAGACCCCGCCCCCACAGAGCTTTTTTTATGTGGGTTATATCTTTAAGTGTTTACCATATTAAAAATAAAAATGGCTTAATGTTATAAAAATCGTTTTTTACTTCCAGCACAAATTTAAAGAGTCTAAGGGACCTACCTCACCCCCCCCTCCCACTCCCACCCCTCAGCTCTAGCTAGTTCTCTTTCTTGGGATAATATATGCAAACCAGATGAACGGCACAGAAGGGAGCTATTTTGCCAGAGTATTTGTTCAGCATAATATAAGCAAGCAATGTCATTTGTATGACATAATTTTTAAAGTTATTTCTTTTTCTGGGATTTCTCTTTAAAAATTTTGAATTCCAAGTTTTCTCCCTCCAGTCCATCTCCCACCCATTGAGAAAGTGAGAAATATGATACCCATTATAAATGTGATGTCAGGTAAAACATAGTTCCATATTAACCATGTTACAAAAAAAAAGGCAAGAGAAAGTTAAATAAATATGCTTTCATCTGCACTCAGCTCATTAAGTTCTCTCTCTGGAGATGGATAGCATTTTTCATCATGAGTCCTTTGGAATTGTATGACATATATTTGTAATAAAAGAGCGGTAGTTTCCTAGTACACAACATATTATAACAGGTTTTCAAAAGATGACAGACAGTACTCCCTCAATCTTAATTTGTAACTTCTGCTTTACCTAAATGCCTTGCATCCACCAGACCTGAGTAGTCAGTGGCCTATTCATTCAGTCACAAAACATTTTCTGTGAGACCATATATGAGAGACACAAGGAGGCATGTGTGGATAGAGTGCTATACTTGGATGGAGAAAAGAAGACCTAGTTTCAAATACCACCTCTGACAAGGTGTATAACCATCAGAGAAGTCACTTGACTTCTCCAAACCTTAGGAAACTTTTGTTGCTCAAGAAAGTTCTCATATACATTAAAGCACAAGGTACTGTAGAGGATACAAAAATAGACATGACCCAGTTCTTGCCCTCAGTGACTTAACAGTCTAGTAGGGGAGCTATCTTCAGAATATACTTCCAGTTTCAATACCAAAAAAAAAAAAGTTCTCTCAACTACATCTCTACCCACCTAGTCTTCAAGGTCTAGCACTACTTGTATTACCAGCTCTGTGAAACCATCCCTGATGTCCCACTTCAACCTAGAGTAACTTGCTCCTCCTCTGAACTCCCCAGAGCTGTGTTAATTGTAGTGTTAATTATCACTTTAAATATATACTGTTATCTTTCCCATCTATCTGGAGAATCTGTAAGGTGTCTAAGGTCACTAAATGTGGAGTCAGGAGATTTCATTTGGTTCAAAAAGGTGGGTGGTAGTTAATACTTTCACTTTCTACCCCTTTGGGGTGTTGTGAAAAAAACACTTTTGCAAACTTCAAAGTTCCGTAGCCAAGTAGGTATTCACAATATATTTTTCATCAATTGATTACCTAAGTGGGAGGGCTCTTCTACCCTATCCCAATTCTACCTCCCCACCCCAAATAAATCAAATAAACTTAATTTTGAGGGAGAGGGAATGTATTTAATTCACAGTTTGCTTTCCAGTTTCAACTTCCCTTCGTCGGAGTGGGGGAAGATATCTACCTGATAACCAACCCTTCCCCACTCAAGGCAATTCAGATATTGCTTTCTTGGCCGGAGGTGCCATTGGTTTCTCTTGTTCTCTGTTTTTCTCCTCATACATCAGGATTCTGAATTGGAGAATTGGAAAAATAGACGGGTGAGGAATGGGGAAGAGTCTGAGAGAGGAGTTAAAGGGTCAAAAGCAAGTGAATTAAGAAGACACAGATTGGGATATGAAAGTAACCAATGACTTCAGAAACATGGGAGGAAATAGAGTTGGTGGAAGGGAAAAGAACCATGGCTTTGTTGGGGAGAGTAGATCAGACTGGGAAAGTTGTCTTTGGGAGGCCTGGGGAACCAATAGGAACAGAACCCAGGAGAGCATTCAGATGAAGAATATGGGGGATCCAGGATAGTTAATGGGAGATCTAGGATAGTTTATGGGGGTCTGACACTTACATTTTAAGAATGGCTGATCTCTTTCCTAGCATCATTCTGAGGAAGTCAGGGTAACAGATGGTCTCCCCAGAGTCACCTGCCACCTCTCTAATTAGTTTCTTCAGCTCCAGGTGAGTCTTGGGGACTCCTAGTTTCTCCAGCATTCTCTTCAGGGACATTGTATCTTCCAGATTGATCGGAGAAAATAATACAACCCCATTTCTTTAGATTCCCATCCTCCTCTTTCCCACTCCATGAAGGGAATAAATCCTACCCCACCCAGTGAGTAGGACTGAAGCAAATGCCAGACCTCTGGTAGTTTAGCAAAGACTCAGGATAGACCACCCATCCAAGTTTTTGGAAGAAATATCACTTCCACCCCTGGAATTACCCCATTCTCACCAATATTGCCATCTCCATTCAGGTCAAACTCCATATATTTCTCTGAAGGGGTAGGGAGAAAAAAAGAGCAGGGAGGGAGGTTGAGGAAAAGAATGCATTTGTGGTGGAGAACAGGAGAGACAGGTTATTGGTAAGAGTGGGTTGGAGAGATGGGATGGGAAATAGGAACAATTAGGGAAATTGAGGGAGAAAGGAGGGAAACAAATGGGTGCCTAATTTCCAATAGGAAATTAGGTTTGAGTACAGGGGAATTAAAGGGATAGGAGATAGCTTCTCCCCAAACACAGAGATATTTTATGTATATTGCTGGCTCCCTGCCCTGACTAGGATTTTTCCCATTCTCTTACTCTTAAAGGCTTCCAGTTTTGGGGGTAGATCCTCATCATTGCTATATTTGGGGTCATCCAGGAATTCCTGTGGGGGACAGGCAGGGAAGTGAAAAATCCCCTCCTCAATCCCTTGCTTCCCTTCCCTTTTTGTTCCCCTCCCCTCTTTTTTCACCTTCTTACCTGGTTGATTCTATCCAATCTCTCCTCCTGCTGAGCTTTCAGCAGTCCAAATTCCTTGCCCCCTAGGAAGGAAAGGACGGAGGCACAAAAATTAACAGTATTCAACTGACTTTCACATTACTTACCTTCTTGTCCTACATACTATGTAGGACATACTCTGAATATCCTCACCCTACCCCACCAGTTGACTCCCCACTCCTAGAGTTCCCCTCTCACTCCTTCCCTATCCAGCTCTCCCAGTTCTGCCCCTGCTACCACTACTCTTTCTCTTACCCTGAAAGTCTCTGGTCTGGTTCATGACCTCTAAGTGGCTACAGGAGAGCTGGAGCCAGGCAAAGCTGTCTGTCCGTCTGTCAGTCCTCTCCAAACCAATATTCTCTGCTGCCTACCTCCTAGACTTCCTCTTTCCCGGAACCCCTTCTCCACCACCTCCCTGTCTTCACTTCCCCATCAGTTTTTGCTGACTCCAGCACCCTAAGGGAGGGGCTGGACTTGGTATAGGTATATAGAATAAGTGGAGGAAAAGGAAAATAATACATGACGGATGAGACCTCCCTTTCATCTGACCTTTGTCCCTGTTGCTGTACTTCTCAGCTCATCTTCTCCAAGGGAGACTGAGATGACAGTGGATCCCCTATGTCCAGAAATACTACTCTATTGAACTACCTGAGTCTACATCTACTTTCTCCTCATATAACTGATCTCTGCACCTGTATCTGGAAATTTTTACTTCCTATTGCTCCCTCTCTGACTCTTGGTAGGCCAGTGTGAATTTGTGATGCTCTAACTAGACTCTCTCACTTATATTTCCTGCAGTTTTCCTATATGATAAGTACCATCAATGGAAGATATTCTTCCAACTTCTTCCCTTCCACCACCTCTACTAATCCCAGGTCTGTGTCTTTTCATGGAAATTTCCCAGGGCCTGGTGATTAGAACTTTTGAGGAGAGAAATGGAGAGTGGGTAGGGGAATGAAACTGTTGAAGGTGGAGAAGAGGATAAAGTCTGAGGAGAGCATGCCAGATGAGGTGTGTGGTATGTAAGTGTTCAGGGATGGATAGGAATAAGGTATGGGCTTCATACAAATTGGGGAATATTCACTAGAACAAAAATGGAAACATAGACCAAAGGCCTCACAATGAAAGGGATAGCTTCCTGTACAAGGAAACATAGAGGAGTCCTCCATAGTTCTGGGACTAATTAAAAATGTTTAACCTTGAGGTATAGGAGAGAGGAGGAAAGAAGTTTGGTGAGGGGAAAGGCAGGGAGTGTATGAGAGGGAGGGAGAAACATCTAATGGGGACTGTGGTATAAGAGGAAGAACATAAGTCTAATAGCAGATGTGAAGGAAGGGTCTTGAAAAGTAAATATGTGAGTACATTCCCAGATCTAGGACCTAGGTATCTGGTTCCCACTGATCAAAGACAGGACAGCATAGAGGTGGAGATGGGGTGGGAAGAGTAGCCTGGGTTGGGAGTCCTGGTAGTGCTTGGAGGGAGAAGGTTTTCACATTGTAGGAAGAAAGGGGGACAAGAAAACTAATTATCTTCGTGACTAAGGTGTTGACTTTGAAGAGGAATGATGAGGTTGTATGGAGGTCTAGGGAAAGAAGATGCTTGGGGAGATCAGAACTGAAAAGGTACCATGGTGGGGCATGTGACCAGACAGGGCCAGGTAAACAAATTTTGTTTAGCATGTTCTGTGAGCTCACTTTCTGTTGGCACTGTGAGCATGGCTCCTTGAATTTTATGCCCACTCAGGTGGGAAAAGATTTTAGTAGGAGTGGGAAAGAAGGGACTAGGAAGAGAAGGGGACATTAGGCAAGACAGCCTACTCCAGAGATGTAAGGTAGTACAATGGAAAAAGTGTAGAACTTTGAGTCATAGGACCTGAATTCAAACCCCAGTTTGGTCACTTATTACCTATGTAATCTTCATGCTTCATCTCTCTAGGCCTCAGTTTTCTTATCCATAAAATGAGGAGGTTAGAATGAATTATCTCAAATGTCCCTTTTGTGACCTGTTGTCTCTGGGTTTCCCAATTCCTGGAGATTCTGATCCAGGAAGGGAGCTCTGTTCTTTCATGAACAGCCAGGGGAGGCTTGCTGTTGGCTCAGCCATTTTTATCAGGATAGAGAGGTAAGGAACAGGAAATTGGAATCCAGAGGCTGCTAAGGCCCCTCCGATTGTGCCAGCTTTCTCTGGGACCCCACGGCCACACTGTGGATTTGGAATGTCTATGGCTATTTTACTGAAGAACTTAGATTTCGGCATGCCTGGGTAGTAGAGGCACAGGAACAGGACAGGCAGTGGGGCACAAAATGGATGTTTGGATCCGGCTTTGTGCTGTTGTCTATCACGATGGTTAAAATCCAGTCAACAGTATATATCTGAAATACCCAGCAGATGGCGAGCTATGCTAGCTGTAGGCCCCATGTGGGGAAGTCTGAGCATCAACCCAAGGCAATATTTCCTCTGGCTACTAGAGGACGCTGAAATCCTGAGCTGCTTTAAAACACACACGCACACACACACACACACACACACACACACACACACACTTCAATTTATTTATTTTTAACATTCTTTTAAAATTTTGATTTCTAAATTCTCTCCCTCCCCTTATACACCCGACGAAAAGGCAAGCAGTATCAATTGATATCAGTGTAAAATCATGCAAAACAAATGTCCATATTAGCCATATTTCAAAAAAAGGAAGAAAAATGAAGAAAGTAAGAAAATTATACTTCAATTTGCATTCAGAGTTCATCAGTTCTCTCTCTGGAAGTAGATAGCGTTTTTTCATCATGAGTCCTTTGTAATTTTCTTGGGTCGTTGTACTGATCAGAGTCACCAAGTCTTTCACAGTTGATCATCATTACACCATTGCTGTTACTATGCACAATGATCTCCTGGTTCTTCTCATTTCACTTTGCATTAGTTCATTATAGTTATTGCCATTTTTTGCTGAAACCACCTCCCTCATCATCTGAGCTGCTTTTTCCATTGGGGGCTGCTTTTTACCTTCATGTCAGGCATGAAACTTGGTTGTTGCATATGTTATTGCTTCCTAAGATCTAGCCCAACTGATGAAATTTTCTGAGTAGGTAAAGTAGCAAACCATTACAGTTACCTTGGTTCCATTTCCAACCTCCTACAGTAATTTATTAGATAGATAGATAGACAGATAGATAGATAGGTAAATAGATAGATCCACCTGACATGTAGATCACTGTAGTTTTAATAAACATGAAATTAAGGGATGTAAATCAGGAAAGTTTCTTACATGCAAAGAAATAAGCTCTTTTTCCTTTTCGTTCTAGTCTTCTCTGAGGAGAGGGAAGATCACAAACATGTCTGAAGTTCCTAGAGAATAGGAGAGGGGAAGGGGTTTTGTGTTATTCTACAGGAAGAAAGGAATACAGAGAGATCAGAGGCCTTCCAGATCCCCAGTCTGATTGCTGAGCAGGATTCATAGCAGTTTATGGTAGTTCAGTAGGTAAGAGTCTGGACTTGGAATCAAGAAGACCCGAGTTCAAATTCCTCTTTAAACACTAGCTGTGTAACCCAATTAAGTCGCATAACCTCTGCCTGCCTCAGTTTCCTTATCTATAAAATGGAAAAAAATAACAACATCTATCTCCTGTTGCTATCATAAGGATAAAATGAGACAATATTTGTTAAACTACTTTGCACGCTTTAAAGCACTATGTAAATGCTAGTAATTATAATAATCTTCATCATCATCATTATTAAACTAGTGGTAGTAGTATCGTCCTTAGGAGACTCTGGTGGCAGACTGTTGTGTGGCAAATTCTTCTCATATGGTCTGGATCAGTCCTTGTAGTCTGGCAGACCCTCATCTGGCCATACCTGTGGTCTTTTAAATGTAATCTTGAAGTTCCAGATAGAGAGAAAGGGCATAAGTTGTAGCCAGCGTCCCCTTTATTATGTTCTCTGTCACAAAGAGAATCTACATGACCAAAAGGCAATCTGATTAACTATAGAAGAGTCTCAGAATGTGTTCTACCTAGCCTTACTAAAATTGCTTTGGCCTTATGAGAAGATTTTTAAAAACAAATTTATATATTTATTTTTACATGCATCCATAATCTGGCCCTTCTACTATCCCCCATTAAGTAAAAGGAAGGAAGGAAAAAGGAAAGAAGGAAGGAGGGAGGGAGGGAAGAAAGGAAAAGAAAAAAACAAAAACCCAAAGCCTTCATCATAAACATGAATAGTCCAACAAAAAAAATTCTTGCATTTGTAAACCTGAAAATTTTTCTGAATTTTAACTTAATATATGTGGCAGGAGGTGAGTGACATGTTTCATCTTCAGTCGTCTGGATTTGTGGTTTATCTTTGCATTAATCAGAGTTCTAAAGTCTTTTAATGCTGTTTTTCATTGCAGAAACTGATTTTCTAGGTCTGTTCATTTTGCTTTGCATTATTAGTTCGTAGAGGTCTTCCCAGGTTTCTCTAAAAAATGTTCATTTTGTTATTTCTTGTATCACAATAATATTCCATTACATTCACATACCATAATTTATTTAGCCATTCCCCAATAAGACGGTCCCTTAATTTCTACTTTTTTGGCTACTATGAAAAGAACGGCTACAAACATTTTTTTAAATATAGATTTTCCCCTCCTCCTATTTCTTTGATCTCTTAGGTGTATGGGCTTACTAGTGACATCACTGTGTCAAAGGACATGCACAACTTAGTCTCTTCTTGGGCATAGTTTGAAATGGCTTTCCAGAGTGGCTATATAATTTCAGAGTTCCACCAGCATAGTACATCAATGTTCCTGTTTTCCCATAGCCCCTTCGACCTTTATCATTGCCTTCTATCATCTTTGCCAGTGTGTATGAGTGACTGTGTACTTAATTTGCATTTCTCTAATTATTAATCATTTTTCGCATCCTGGGTTTCATCCTTTGAAAACTACCTGTTCATATCCTTTGGCCATTTATCAACTGGAGAACCTCAATCAGAGAAACTTGTTGCAAAGATTTTTTTTCCCCATTTACCTGTTTTCTTCCTAATTTTAACTACATTAAATTTGTTTGTACAAAAACTTTTCAATTTTATATAATCAAATTTGACCATTTAATCTTGTGTGCTCCTCTCTTTTGCTTATTAGTCATAAACTCTTCTCCCAACCATAGAGTCTGAAAGATAATTTCTTCTTTGCTCCTTTAATTCATTTGTTATATGACCTAAATTTCTCCATTTGGAGCTTCTCTTGATAAATGATGTGACGTACTGGTGTAAACCCAATTTCTGCCGGACTGCTATCCAGTTTTGCCAGCAATTTCTCTCAACTAGTGAGACCTTCCCAGTGGGAAGATTCAAAGAGGCAACAAAGATGAGGCAAAATTTCTCTAGGTTATAAAAGCAAAA